AGTTAAAGTATTATATATGTGTGTGAACATGTTACAGTTAAAGTATTATATATGTATATGTGTGTGTGAACATGTAATTTTAATTGTTCATTATACACTTTCTACATCATTCTGTCATAACATCAGATGTAAATAACATTTTATCCATCATTTCTCGTACCGAAAAATAACAAATATATTTTAAAACAATGTACACATTCATCGTTGGTTATAAGAGTAGCTGGAATTATTTAACTCAAACTTTAAACTAGACTATACGTATAACCGCGTCGGCCCGGCATGGCCAGGTGGTTAAGGCACTCGACTTGCAATCTGAGGGTCGCGGGTTCGAATCCCCGTCACACCAAACATGCTCGCCCTTTCAGCCGTGGGGGCGTTATAATGTGACGGTCAATCCCGCTATTCGTTGGTAAAAGAGTAGCTCCAGGAGTTGGCAGTGGGTGGTGATGACTAGCTGCCTTCCCTCTAGTGCTAAATTAGGGACGGCTAGCGCAGATAGCCCTCGTGTAGCTTTGCGCGAAATTAAAAAACAACAACGTATAACCGCTGTACATTTTGGATTTATTAGATGCAGTTTATCTTCAAAAGATACGCTTCTTATCATCTCTTTTATTGTCTCAATTCTTAACCGAATAACTGAAATAAGATTGACAAAAATAATCTATACAAATGTTGTTAGTTTATATACTCATTCATGTGATAAACTTTAGTCATGTTATAAAAAATAACCTTTAGTGATGTTCTTGTTTTGGTTTTGACATCCTTATCATAGTTTAGAGAGATTTCATTGTCTAAAGCGTAAAAGTGTAGGAAATGCAATAATAGATTCTTATCATGATGACGACCCTTGCTAATTACTGTTACACAGAGAGTAACTGACAACCAAGAAGACATTATGCTTTGTTTTAATACGAACTGTTCTTAAAAATATCAGTAATTTCTGGAAAGCGTTTGAAGAATAATAAGAAATAACATAAGAATATCACGTTAGTTTAATTAGTTCAGCAAAGCTGGATCTCAGAGCAATGTTTAATCTGTAATATATTTATCTCTTGTATAGTTATATTGAAGCTAATCTTCCCCCCTTTCAGATATTGCAAATACATTAACATTTCCATTTCTGACTTGGTCTCTTATAAGTATATTGCCATTTCCTTTTCTGACTTCGATTTATGTATGTTTATGTTCTACTTTATGACTTCGATTTATGTATGTTTATGTTCCACTTTATGACTTGGATTTATGTATGTTTATGTTCCACTTTATGACTTGGATTTATGTTTGTTCATGTTCCCCTTTCTGACTTGGATTTATGTATGTTTATGTTCCACTTTCTGACTTTGATCTATGTATGTTTATGTTCCACTTTATGACTTGGATTTATGTTTGTTCATGTTCCCCTTTCTGACTTGGATTTATGTATGTTTATGTTCCACTTTCTGACTTTGATCTATGTATGTTTATGTTCCACTTTATGACTTTGATTTATGTATGTTTATGTTCCACTTTCTGACTTGAGCTCGTGTAAACATACTGACATCCCTGTTTTTATTAATTCGGTTGGTGTATCTTTAACGATATATTTTTTTTTACTTGAGTTTACGAAGGTATGCTGACATCTGTCTTTTTCAAGTAAACAATGACCAGAACGTGGAGAGACTCTCCATCATTGTTCTTCACCCAAGTTTCTGATCTCAAGGATCCATTGTTCCATTCACAGTTTAATGAGCAGATTATGGATCGCATGAAATCCAGAAGCCATGAATTTTCTTAGAACATCAGAGGTCAAGACCTGTAGTCCTGACCTCTCTTCGACGTCCTAAGTGGGTTGCCTGTACAGTTATAACACATCTTACAGTTCACAGTAACCAAGTATTGATTGATTTATGATATTAATACGTCTACGTCATCACCATGGTGATTTGGTGTAAATACGGGGAGGGCCTGAATTGTTTCGAAACTTTCACCCCACCAATGCAGAATCTAATATCCATTTCTTTTTTAAACACCTCTGAGGTTTTCCCCTGTAGCACCTTCACTATAAATAACTCTGTTTACCTTTAGGTGTTAGTGCATCACGGGATCTGAATGCAAGTTTAAATTTAGCCCATTACGAGCTGATCGTGTAATATTCAATACGTTTGGAAATTGATGTTGGTCGTATGTTATCTATAAAAAAAAATATAGATTAATACAGGAATATGTTTCCAATATCATAATGCACTCAAACATAACGTTTAGAGTAATATTTCTTGCTCAGCATACGAAAGCCAGGTTAAATCAAATAATTAATTATTCTAATAATACAATACCATTAACACGTGCTCGCACATTTGTTCATCCCAAGCTATAGTTGAAACAAACTTCATCATAGTAACGATGTCTGCACTTGTAATTTCTTCTTCTATTTCATACGACCACACTCTGTTAAATAAATCTTCACAGACGAGACTTTTGCGCTTAAAGTCCAAGTCCTTCAGTTGAGCTTCTAAAACAATTAGCAGGAAATAAAACGTTTCTTTCCAGGCTTCGCAAATGTCAATTACAGTAGCATGGATTGTGTCTGGAGGGAAAAGTTTCTGTAGGGCTAGTATTATTCCAAACATTTCGCTCCCTGGACCTCCTCCTATGGAACAGATTTTCAGTGTAGAGCTACGTTTGATGATTGTCTCTTGGAATAAAACAGATGTATTGTATAGAAACGTAAAAAGATATTCTGCTATTGCAGTATGAAACATAGCAAACTTGTATAAGTAAGCTATACGGTTTCTTACATCTCCATAGTCCACAAAAGTTGTTCCACTCCTAAGAGATTTAACTAGGTAGGCTCTTCGAACTTCAGCTATTCCCCGAGATACTTGAGAACCTAAATATGAGAGTGATGCTATTCCAGTTTCTTGGTGTAATTTGTCTAACTCACGTTCCAAAACTAGTGAATACACACTGTTGATTGTGTTGGCCATGGTAAACCGATCTGAAAGTTTACCCTTCACTGGCATACGAGCTAAAATGATAACACACTAAATTGGTGTAGAGTTCGAACCAGGAAGATAACGTTAATACAAAGACAATGTCTAGTCAGCGATAGTTTTAGATATGCGCACAGAACCTTAGGTAATATCGCGTAGTGCTTAAATATATAATTATCGAGAAAAAACGTGATGTTAACTGAAAACTTGATTAAACAGTTGGAATAAAACATGTGACGTTTGATAATGGTAAGAAAGCTTTTCACAAACTTCATTAAACTGTTGGAATAAAACATGTGACTTTTGATAAGGGTTAGAAAGCTTTTCACAAACTTCATTAAACTGTTGGAATAAAACATGTGACTTTTGATAAGGGTTAGGGAGCTTTTCACAAACTTCATTAAACTGTTGGAATAAAACATGTGACTTTTGATAAGGGTTAGGGAGCTTTTCACAAACTTCATTAAACTATTGGAAAAAACATGTGAGTTTTCATAATGGTAAGGGAGCTTTTCACAAACTTCATTAAATTGTTGGAATAAAACATGTGACTCTTGATAAGGGTTAGGGAGCTATTCACAAACTTCATTAAATTGTTGGAATAAAACATGTGACTTTTGATAAGGGTTAGAG